AAAAAAAAAAAAAAAAAAAAAAAAAAAAAAAAAAAAAAAAAAAAAAAAAAAAAAGAATGCTAAATTACCATACCTGAGGAATTACTGTTTGGATTTCTTCGGGGACGGCCTCCAAGATCTTCTCATATGAAGCAGAATTTTTTCTGCCCCTCATAAGATCCATTTTGTTGACGATTATTACTAAACCACGACCTTCCTCCACTGCTCGCCTTGCAATAACCACTTCAGCATGTTTCATACTTCTTCGTTCTCTTGCAATCTGAACATCACATAGATCAATGTCACAGAAAAGTTGGATGGAGAACTTGATATAATTTAGAGAAAGTTGGGTCATTGGAAAAGCCTTGCTCTTTCAAGAGAGAGTAGAATTACGTTGGCTAAATTAGTCCTTACGAGATACCTTTATGCTACTTTTCAATCTTTTCCTGCACCACCCGGGTCTTAATTCGCAGGAGAAGTTGGTTAGAGATTTCTTTAGGAAAGTTTTTTGGAAAGGTAATAAGGAGGATGGTGCTGTCAATCTATTCAGTTGGGAACCACTTCTCTTCCGACTGATATGGTAGGTCGGGTATTGGTAATCTTGCCACTAAAAATCGAGCTCTCTTAGCTAAATGAAGATGAAGATTTCTTATGGAAAAGGAATCTTTGTGGAGACAGGTGATTTCTTTTAAATACAAAAGGAATGAGAATTAATGGTGGCCTTTCTGTGAAAGGCTCTTGGTTGCTTAAAGGCCCATGGTCCCAAATCAAGAAAGCTATTCTTCTATCTAAAGAGGTGGTATAAAATTAGAACGGGTCGTGGGGATAAACCCCATTTGTGGAGAAACGCCTAATTGATTGCCACTTTGGGTGGAGTTTCCTAGACTGTTCAGAACTATGAAAGCCAAGGACTCGATGGTTAGCCAATGCTGGTTTGATTCTCTTTGTGTGTGGGATTTGAATTTCAGAAGAAATCTTACTGATTCAGCGTTTGATGCATGGGCAGCTCTCTTGAACAAGCTTCATGATTTTAAATCGAATAACACGGATCTTATATGGAAACCATCGTGTCCTAAGAAGGCCAAGGTTTTCAGATACTCTTCTTCAGCTTATTGAGGGCGCCCCCAATTTAAGGTTCAGGCGAAAATTCTATGGTCCAATGGTGTCTTTGCCCTCCTTTGGAGACTATGGTTTGAAAAAATTCTAGAATTGTTTGTGGTCAAGAACTAACGGGCATTGATCTGGTCACTCTTTTTGCTTCTACTTTGGTCCTCTACTTCAACTTTTTTTTTTCTTTTTCTTTTTTGTAATTATAGTCTAACTCATATTTACACCAGTTAGGCTTCTTCTTTTGTAACCCATTTGTGTGTGGGGATATCTCATCTCCTCTCCTTTTGTAATTTCTCTCTTGTTAATGGAAGTTATGTCTCTTATAAAAAAAATGTCATAAAGGTTAAAAAAATGTCCTATCTTAAATCAGATGTTATACGAGTTTCCCATTAGTGTAGTCCACAATGAGTAATTTATCTTATTTTGCCAGAAAATGGAACGCAAAAAGAATAGACACGTTGGGGTAGGTTTTGCTTTGTTTAAAGAAGCTTGAAAATCCTAACATACTTTCAGTTTCTACCAACAATCTTCTAACTTTCCACGGAAGGAACTTGGCACCAGGTTTAAACAAGTGGAAGGTCTAGGCCTGCTACCCATTACACTAAAAGGTTCGTGGATGGTCTTGAAAAGTAATAAGAAAAGAAGGAAGAAATTGATTGTATCGCACACCTCTTCTGCATCAAGAACCAAAGCAACCACATGAGCTCTCATCAGATTCTTAGTAGATTGCATGACACTCAAGGATGATGGTCCTTTCTCCTCCTTAGTCCTATGCAACCAACCAGCTGTATCAACCTAATTATCATTACCAACCATTAACAATTAGTACTTCATAACACATAAGTGGTGCATTAAATAAAGTGTTATAACATAAAGAACTCCTTAGGAACACAGGTTTTATTCAGAATGCAAGGCATCACAAAAGGAGAAACAAGAAATAGTCAAACATGTGCTTACCAAGTATATAGTTCTACCCTCAAACTCAAATTGAGCTCTAACAGAATCCCTTGTTAAACCAGCTTCAGGACCAACAAGAACACGGTCCGATTGTAACAGTGTATTTAGCAAGGTTGACTTGCCAACATTAGGTCGTCCAACGATTGCTAACTGTAATTGCACCTTACTGTCCTGGGTGTCCTCATCCTCATTGGAGCCTGTGACCTGATGGAAGCGATCAAGACCACCATTATCTAGGAATTGTGAGAAAGCAAAGCTAGGTTAGAAGAGTGGGGAATAAAGAGATAATCACCATATCATCTACAAATTAGATTAAAAAAAATGGACGACGGTGGAAATTCACAAATGCGCAACATCCAACTCCGTTATCTAGACAAAGGATAGCACGATAGTAGAATATCACATTGGACCTACACATTGTGATAACAATACCAGTATCTATAAAAAAATTTAAAAATATTGTGTGAGGTGGGGAGCAGACAAAAGCAAAAATGAGAAATTGTTGCACATTAAAAAAAAAAATTAAAATTAAGATGAAAATATAATGCAAACAACAAAATGACCAAGAGTGGGCGCCAGTGACCAGAAGTAGCGTCTCGCGTCTCAACACATGTGATGCCGCTAATTGCTCAAAATTTATTCATCATTAAAAAGAAACAACAATATGAAATAAGGGAGTTTTCAAGTTCCGCCAGAAGCTCTCTCCTGCTGATCATCCCATATCAACACGGACTTCCCATATCAACACGGACTTCCCTGCTGATCATCCCACCAGAAGCTCTCTCCTGTTTTCATATCAACACGGACTTCCCATATCAACACGGACAATATGAAATTAGGGAGTTTTCAAGTTCCACCAGAAGCTCTCTCCTGCTGATCATCCCATATCAACACGGACCAAGAGTGGGCGCCAGTGACCAGAAGTAGCGTCTCTCGTCTCAACACATGTGATGCCGCTAATTGCTCAAAATTTATTTGCAGCATTAAAAAAGAAACAACAATATGAAATTAGGGAGTTTTCAAGTTCCGCCAGAAGCTCTCTCCTGCTGATCATCCCATATCAACACGGACTTCCCTCCGACTCTCACTAACATTCCATTTACTAACTTTCAGGTTGTTTTGCTTTCAGCTAGTTCTTGTATCTCTGCCAAAAGTCATCCCTTTAGCTTGTATCATGAAAGAATAATTGGTGATCATTGACTATATGCCTTTTTAGCAGAGGCCCGTTAAATTTCTTGTCTTTTCAAAATTCCAAGATTGGAGAGAGAGATCTCAAAAAGGATTATATGATGAACCTTTTGTAGAATTGAATTGAGAAGGGTGGAGGATCTTATTCATTAATTGGTACTGTGTATCAAAGACCTCTAAGGATGTGAGTCTAGAGATTGATAACTTGGATCTGAAAATTGTTATCAGTTTATCTAATGGTCATCGTGGGCTTTGTGGTGCCAGGGTATAGTGTGTATGAGATTCACATTAACGGATGGGATTCCTAGTTATACCAAAAATTCATGAGGTAACCAAACACTAAAGATGAAGGGGGTAGGCAGTCGAAAACCGAAAACTGCCTATGACAACTAACAGAAGATTTAAGCTCCAACGGCTAATGACTACTAACTCAAGAATTAACGCAAGCACAGTTAACAAGTTAGCAAGCTAAAACAACAACGTAGATAATCTCAAGAAATTAAGAAAAAAATTATTACAAAACCATACTTTTTTTAAAATGCATAGATCATTTGCACAAGCAGAAAAAGAAGCTCAAAAGTTTTATCCCATAATTAGTGAAACTAAAATGAATGGGGAAAAAAAGGCCACAAAATAATGCGTTTAAATAAATAAAAATCACAGTGAACTACGCCACAGTAAAATATTCCTGTGAGCGAGAGAAATCAAGTTTCTTGCTAATTTTGAAACAACTTACAGGATGGCCGAACTTACAATAATGAATAATGGCCTCCTCTCTCTTTAACAGCTTCCACAAAATCAAGTATATTGAAAAAAGGGCAAGTTCTGGAAGGGCACTCAGAGTGTTGGATAGAAACACACTGATATTTTCTTGTTTTTTGCAATCATAGGTCTCTATAGGCCAGCTAACACAAACTTGATCTAATTCCATTCGTTTAAACAACTACCAAACTCTACAATATTGGTGTCAAGAAACTTGGGACATCTCAATTTCAAAACAGATGATTATTATAGTTTGAACCCAAAATCTCAAAAGGCATCTAGATAAGATATAAAATTAGCCTCTTTGATCAACCTTTGGTGGTTATTGGTAATGTGCCAAGATATTTCAAATGATAATTGGTTGATAGGTACATTTCTTACCATTTATAACTTTGAGCATGTACTTCTCAAGCACAGGTTTGATGGCTAAATACAGGTCATGCATGCCAAGTCCAGTTTCAGCTGATATGGGAACAGGATCTCCAAAGCCTAGCCTTTCAGCTTCAAAGCCAGCAGCCAAAAGTGTGCCACTGCTGTCGATAAGCGATTCAGATTTATTCATTGCTACTAAAATGTTAATATCAGGTACATTTCTGCGCAGCCACTTCCCAACCTCCAAATCAAAGGGATGAAGACCAGCTCTGCTCATAAAAATAGCATCATGACTACTTTAAACTTCAGAGCCACAGTACAACAAAAGAAAATTGTCAATATGTATACTGAGTAAGACAGCAAGCATTCCTCTGTCTTACAATGAAAAGCAATATGCTACATTCATCTCAACCAAGTTCATGAAAAACATTCACCAATCACCTTGCATCAATGAGGAAAATTGCTAACTGACACTTGAGAAGCACCTTTTCAGTCATTCTTGCTGTTCTTTCAAGAATAGAGCCAGAAGATACTGCTGTCTCCAAGCCAGAAGAGTCCAATACTACAAAGCGCAAATCTCCAAGTTTGGCAACCCCTTCACGAATATCCCGAGTAACATGATCATCAGGTGTGTTGTAAACTAGTGCCTCCCTCCTCCTAATAAACCTATAGATTAACAACATTCACAATACCAGTAAGATAATGCAAAAAAATGAATCGGTGATTTAACATTGGAAAACACTGGGAAGTCCATTAATAGAGTAACAAAGGCATGCAGAGATTACCGATTAAATAATGCAGACTTGCCAACATTGGGGCGCCCAACAAGCACAACAGTTGGAAGCATATTAATGGGAATTTTGGTGAAATCAACTGAATTTTTGTGTACAGCTTGAACTATATTAGCAACAACATCACCATCACTTGCCTTATCATTTAAAAATTTCTCCGAGTGCCCATTTTCTGATACTCCACAAAATCCCCTGGCGATATGAACAGCAGCCAAAGGAAGCAATAATCTTGTACTTGAGATGCCACTATTCCAACCTAGATAGAATCATAGAACCCAAAAACAATGACCAACGACTTAATCTGTACATACAAAAGATGAAAACAAATATGAATTGTCGTGGATAACCATGTACAATCCTCCAAAGTTCTCGTATGTGTGAAGTTCTTCAATCCATCATCGTAAGAACTAAACCTAGACAAGAAATCAACAGTAAGTGGTAGAAGGAAGGAGGTACCTGATTTGACGAATGAATGGTTGCATTTCTCACTGAGGGGCTTCGGAAGTGTAGAAAAATTTGAAGGCGTGTGCCCCCCGTTGCATAAAACCGAGCCACTGAGAAAATTAGGCAACAGACTACTAAAGCTTGTTGTTCTACTTCTTCCTACGATATCGGAAACGCCATTACCGATGACCCGCCGGCGTTGAGACAGCAACGGAAACCATAAGCGAGACATAGCTACGTCGCGGCGGCAATCACAGTCGCAGCAACCTGTGAAAATATTCTTAGAACAAGAACAACAAAGAAGTATAAGGGTAAAATGGACATTTGAAGTTCAATACGTAATAGGGATAATTACACTCTTAATTTATGGGTTAGGTTGGTTTAATTAAAAAGGAAGTCATTTTCTATTTTTAAAAAATAATAATAATAATTATTATTATTATTTTTTTTTTTTTTTTTTTTTTTTTTTTTTTTTTTTTTTTTTTTTTTTTTTTTT